TAGGAAGGGGTAAGGCTGCAGGTGTCGGCACCCTACCGAGGGTGACCCCCTCAGGGCACTCACCCTGCCTTCCTGGAAGCTCTTAGGGAACAAGGGAGCGATCCTGTCATGCGCTCAATGAGCCAAATAATACAGTACTTGTGTCAGCAAAATGAAGCACTACCAGTTCTGAGGTTCAGTCTGGGAGGAAAGCAGAAATAGCCCCCATTTAGTATGGAGGCAACAGAAATAGTGTTGTCCCCTCTGAGGAAAGCTGGGAGCAGTGAGGTCTCTGAGAGAGAGAAAGGAGAGACACTCCCGAGATTAAAAGGCCATTTGGCAAAGAGAGAGCAAGGACACAGTGCCATGGGGAAAGGGCACGCAGCCCTTCCACCCCCTGCGTGAAGTGCCGGCAGCCAAGTAGATGGGGGACGCAGGCCCAGCCCCCTCCCTGGATACGTGGTGGCTTGATTTGGCCGCTGGGCAGCTCTGTCTGCACTCATCCTGTCCCTATTCCTTTCCAAAGCAAAAGGGATTTACTGGAGCAAGAGATGCACAGAGACAAGGCAGCATTGTTCCCCCAACCCACCCTGCAACTCTCCTGGGAGCACATCAACACCTTGCACTGATGTGCCACGCAAGGAACTTTGTTATTGGATTGGGTTGCAAATGTGGTGCTTATTGCCAGCTCAGGTGAGTCACCCTGATCGGAGGCTGATGTGCCACCAGAGAAAACCATAGGTGGGAGGGAGAGGAATCAGCTGGAGACTCATCCTCCTGCTGGGATAAGCAACACTGCGGGCAAGATTAGGCTTGGCAGGCAGCACGGAAAAAGCCCAGGCTCTGCTTGACCTGAAGCCCCCCAAACAGCCCACCACACAGGATGAAATGAAAGTACCTGGAAGACAGGTAGATGGGGTGACAAACAAGGCAGGGAGCCCCTGAGCACCAGACATGCCTCGCAACTGGTTGTGATGAGGAGCTGAACTCCCAGATTCTGGATTGCACTTGATAATATCAGCACCTACTGAAGGACCCACCTCCTGGCTGCTGCCCGTCAGCTCAGGGAAACTCTGTGGGTTGCGGGAACGGGTGGTCCCCTATTAGTCCAACAAACAGGGCAGTCTGTGCAGGAAGGAAAGCAAAGCATCCTCTTTCCAGGGCTTTTGGGGTTATTTTGGTCCTCCGTGCCTTGCATAGTGTTCTTCAGCTAACTGAAGAAATTGCTGTTTGGTTGCAATATTGCAAGGGAGAAGCCTGCATAGTGTCCTGGATCAGCACAGAGAGGACCTGTTATGTATGTGTGCATCTGGGTATTTTTCTGTATTTTTTTTCCACCAGGAGGATGTTGAAGTTAACACTTGTCGTAGAGCAGGGAAGGACCCAGGGACAGTTCCGTGGCACACACGGGCGGGGGGAGCAAGGCACAGCCCTTAACTGGAGGACGCCTGTGCCTGCACGTGCGTGCAGAGCTACAGGGACCCCGTTCTCAGCAATCATTCCTCCTTTTTGCCACATTCCCTATGGCTTTGCTACACACCTGAACTAAACAACATGACCTACAACATTTGACCATGACCCTGAGCCTCAGGGAAAAGCAAATCCTTTTTGTGCAGCCAGATTTCCTTCGCTGGTACCGTGCCACGCTTCACTTCTCTCCCTGGCTACTGCCATATTTCTTTTTAATTCCCTGTACAGGTGGTAAAAATGTCTATCAAGGTCCATCTCCCCAGCATGGAGAACCGTGGTAGCCATTGTATTCCATGAAGCTTGGCCAGAGCAGCCTCGGCTGCACAGCTGGGCTGCCGGTGCGGCCACGGGAGCAAAGTACGTGGCGGGACATGGGGAGGAAAGTGGGTGGGAGCACGTGGGTGGGGAGGACAAGCTGCTTCCTCCATGCTGTTGCCAACAGGCACCAGTTGGGATGCATGGGATCTCAATTACTATCTTTTTTTTAAAGCCAGCCTCATGGAAAACTATAAATTAATCTGCTAATTAAATACTCGGGTGAGAGACCAGGGAACCTCCAGCCATGCAAGCAGAGGAGCAGCTATGGCTTCTTCCGCAGGTAATTGGAAGGGATCCAGCCCTCCCAGCATGGACCCCCAGTCAGGACCTTGCAAAACCACCAGCCGCTGCTGTTCTTCTCGTGAACTTCAAACAAAGTCCCTTCTTTAAAGCTGTTGGTCTCCGCGTCGCCTTCAAAATCTGCCACTGCCACATAGAGAGCTTCCCTGGAGAGGTCCAGACTGGAGATGGGGGCTGAGGTCCTCTCCTTAGCTTCCCCTCTCTCCACTGGCTTGGATATGACCTTTGGGCTTACACTGCTTTTCACTTTCGCTTCATCTTGGACGGAGGCAGAGAGGAACGGCTTGGCTTTCGGAGGAACCAGCATGGGCCTCCCTGGCACCGGGGATGACCTGATTTCAGGAGCTTCCCGTGCTGGGGCTCTGAGCTCCACCGTGGGGCCGGAGGCAGGACCCCCTGTTTTCTTTGGGGGGGGTGGTCTGCGAGGTGGCACAACGGGGCGCTGCGGTGGAGGCTCCCTGGCACCTGGGGTGTTTGCTGGGCCAAGGGGAGATTTAGGCAGCGCCTCTTTCACGGTGTGACTGTCCAGCTTGGACAGTGGTTTGCTCTCCATGCTTGGTCGCTCCTGAAACCTTCCAGAAGCCTCTGAAGAGACCATGGCGTTACTGAAGGAGCTTTCGCTGGCAGAGGTGTCCTGCTCGGAGGGTTTCTCTGGGCACTTTGCAGGTCTAAGCTTGCTCCGCAGGCTGCAAATGTCTAGTTTATCATCAGCTGGAGGTGGGTCATTCCGGGGGGCTGCAGCAGGTTTTGGCCTGATCTGAGGTCTTGACTTCAAGAATGGATTCTGGGCGACAGGCTCAGGCTTGTCCTCCACGGGCTCAGCTTTTGGCTTGGTTGGCTTGACAATGGGACGGAGGTTTGGCTTTTTCACCTCCTTGGCTGACACCTTGTGTCCACATTCCAGTCCCATTTCATTTTTCAGCTGGAAGAGTTTGCCCTTCTCCGGTTTCAGCTCGGGCTTCTTGCTGTCCTTCGGAGCCGCCGACTGCTTGGGTGGGATCATGGGCAAAATCATGCCTGGGGGCTTGGGGGGAGGCCTCTGCCTCTCCAGTAACTCGCCTTCTGATTTAATGATGGATTCCTTCCTGGGTGGCAGGCTGGGCTTCTCCTCTGTGTCATGGTCTGAGATCTCCTCATAGCCACTGGCAAAGGCTAGATCCCCACTCTCAGGAGCCTCCTTCCCCTTCCAGTCTTTGGTCCACTTCCCACCACAGTCCGTACCATTTGGAGGAGCCTCTGGCAGAGGACGGCATGGTCCCGTCACTTCCTCACCGGCATTGCTGTCAGCTGTGGCGTCACCAAGCCGGAGCTGGGACATCTCGTTGGGTAGCGGAGCCAGGAAATTTGGCCTAGATGCGTTGCTGGTTTTCTTGTACTTATCAATGAATGTGGCAGGGGCCCAGCCTTCCTTCTCCTCAATCTGAATGTACCACCAGCCGCTCAAGTTCTTCTCAATAACCTGTTGAGGGGAAAGGAAACCTCAGACATCCTTGCAGGAGCCCTCTCTGCACAAGAGCGGATATGCTGTGTGTCTCTGAAATGATGGCAGGGTGGTATATGGCCTTGGTGCCTCCCTGACCTGGTAACCAAAGGCCATGTCATGACAGGACTGGTGTCCTAACAGGAGGGGAACCTGCTAATGATCTCTGTCAGGGAAGGGGACCTGTGTGCTGTGGGACCAAGGAACGACGCAGCCATGTCAAGGAGCTGCGGCTGAGCTGTCACCATCCCGCCTGGGAGACAGGACCGGGGTGCTGGGTGCTGGTGGTGGCCACTGCGTGGCACTGTTGGAGCGATCAACCGGCAGCGATACTGCATGGATCAGCAACTGTCCAGCCTCTGTGAGCTCCGGAAGTGGGGCTGGGACCTTGGAGGAGCTGACTGGGGCAGTCGTAAAGGAAAAATCCTCTTAGAGAGGCACAATTTACATTTTGAAAAGCAAAATCACATCTGCAAGAGGGATTCTGCTAGCAAAAGCAGGTGTGCTAGGAAAGCAGTTCTGGAAGGGCTTTTAACTTTACACCTGGTCTAAATAAGAAAAAACCCACCATCTTTACCTCAATTTGTGAATGGTTTTAATTTCCACTAGCTCAGACAACACAGCACCCACACACTTGGGGGACAGGAGGCCACCAAGAGCACCAGGGACTCCAAAGTCTCATGAGCTCAGACGAGTTTCTCTCCCGCTCTAGGAGAGCCCTGGGATGTTAGCAGTCCACAGAGGCAATCACATGCACCACCATGCCTGGTTTCCACCCAGAATGCTGTGGTGAGCAGAAACAGGACCCAGGGCAATGGGAGTCAGGAGCACTGCACTGACATGAAGATGTGAGGAGGGAGGACAATAGTCTCACCTCTACTTTCATTCCTGCCTGGAAGCTGATGCCATCAGGGATGGTGGTCTGGAAGTCAGCAATAGTGTAATATTCCTCTTCCACTTGAGGAGGGACAGGAGGTTTAGGCAGGTTCAAACCACGTGGCTATGGCAAGAATAAAGAAAACCTGTCACCATGTTCGTACAGAAGGTGTGACACAACATCTACATAGACCATCAGCCTGCAGAGACACAAGCCAGCATGGCCAGGCCAGGGAGATCAGCTCTGCCCATGTAGCATCCTCTCCAACACAAACCAGCAAACCATTTCCAGGCTGAGCAGAAAATTGCTCAGTGCCAGAGCTCTTGCTGACAGCAGAGGGAAGGAGCCAGTCTGCAGCCTCCCACTGGCAACCCAGCTTTGTGGGACAGACTGGCCAAAAGTCCATTTAAAGACCACACGCAAAGAGAAGAATCTTAGGACAGCAGGGGGGCAGCATGCATACTCCGGCCTTGACCAAGAGCCCATGGTACAGGGGCAAGATCCCAGGCAAAGAATAACCAGTGACTAGAGCTCCTTTCAGCGCTCCTCTCCGACTCCCTTTGCCATCGCTGCTCTCCTACACCAGCTGGCACTTACTATGGTGAGATCTCGGCGAGGAGGGGGTCTCTGCCTCATCTTTGGTGACTCTGTGGAGGAAGAATTTCAGATGCTGTTGAGTTTCTGGCTTTTGGTCACATGTGTGTTCACAAAAGACAAGTGAAAGAGAAAATAGAAAGGCAAGGACCAAGCCTGTCCTATAGGAAAGGAAGCTGAAGGGTGAACCTGTCTGCCTGGTATCCTAAGTGGTCACCTGGAATTTGAGGGCATCCCACTCGAAGAGGAACCAGCTTTGCACCGTCAGGTGCTGCTGCGAAATGCAGCTGAGGTCACCACATGAAACTGCTTTTTCATTGCAGGCGTCGTCTAGAAGACCTGCCCTGTAGAGGGGTTAAAATGCCCCAGCTTCTGAGAGGAGAGCATCTCCAGTCTTGGAATAAGGGTCTTTAATCCCCATCACACTTGCTGATCCTAAGCAGGTCCCTGGGCAGCACTGTGCTCATGCCTCATCTGCCTGTGCAATGTCACCTCCAGACCTTGCTGCAGAGCTCACAGCACCTGCAAGCCTTCTGCCTCCCTCACACACAGTTACATCTCCCAAAAGCCTGCAGGAAAGGCTGTGCTAACAGCCCAGCCACCACCGGCCTCCTCCCAGCTGGCCACTTACTGCGTCGGATGTCAGCATTGGGCAGAGGACGGCTATCGAATCTCCCATCCCTTTGGCCAGCGAGCCCATCCTTCTCTCGGCTTGCCACGACCTGCTGCCGGGAGATGCCATCCAGATCCAAGGCACACGAATGAGCGGAGGAACCTGACCCCAGCTTCTGCGAGAACGTCTCTCCATTCCCCTTTTTGAGGTAGGAGGCAGGGGCCCAGCCTTCTTGGCCCTGGTACCTGCAGTGGCAACAATGGCAGCGTCACTGCGCAGAGCCCCGGCACTGCTCCAGGGCTGCGAGCCCTTCCCCAAGGAGCAACCCACTGTGCTCAAGTGGTGTTGAGCCACTGGACATCCCAGGACACGACTGACTGAAGGTACTGCATGAGCTGGGCAAAGCAAGCTTGCCTGGTGTCATGCCCCATGGTATGTGGGCACCTGGAGAGCTCCAGCCATAACTAATGCTCCTGTGCAAGCTGGCCACAGGCAGCGGGAGAGCAACGGTGTGAAGCCTGATTTCCTTTTTACCTCAGCAATGGCATTGGTTCAGGAATGAAGTGCACTGGCAGGGGAAACAGAGGGGAAAACCAGAGCACTGCTGCTAGGATTGATATACCTGGTCTTTGGAGAAAGCACAAGCCCTCTGCCTGAGCGCCAGCAGCCTGGATTCCTTCCCTGTTCTAAATCTGCACTGTTTAGGAGAGAAACCAGCCCCATGATCTGACTGAGAAACCACATCTGCGGAGTCTCCCTGCCATGCTGGAGGGTCGTCCCATGCCAGCGTCAGAGACTCTCTCCACTGGCTGGGGGGCGGGCCCCC